ACTTGGGACCTTTTTACTCGCCATACTATTAAAACGATAGACGACAATTTCAAAGAGATAAATAAAATTAAATAAAATTTTTATGAAGATAGAAGGTGAGAATATGTAGTATAAATTTTAATGGGCTTCTAGTGAAGCCGCACGTGAAACAAAACACGTTATAAAAGGCATTTACTGAATGAAAATACATCACATGTGAATCGGTTCACATAAAATAATTTATTATTGTACATGGTGTATATATTTGTGGGAACGCTGTAAAAGTTGCTGATGGTTGTTGACTGTATTTAAGTGTGTGCTTAAGGGACACCATACTTCGGGTTATTGTCCTCTATTCTCTGATCGCAATAAATTTTACTTCATCTACGCCCACGCATTAAGCTCTTGTGGCGAATATGCAATATTTGCATGTGTGGAAAAGCATTCTCCTTTCAAATGGACCACTTGCTCTTAAAGAATCTTCTTTTTACCGTTCTTTCTTTTTTGTATTATATACGATTTCAAGTTTCTTGCGCACTCTCTTGAAATAACTGATTGGATGTCATAAATTGCAGTAGTGGCCTTTATTAAAATCATTTATCAAAAGTTATATCTTGATTATATTAGAAACGTAAAATCCGGGTGATGTTAAACTTTTCTTCTTCAATTTGGATTTTCGAAATTAAATTCATTGCTATTAAGTACTAGCGTTTTATCCTGTACTGGTGAATTTAATAATACTTATTAATAATTATAATGGAATCCAATATTTTTAATATCAATTTTTTATTTTTTATTTTGTATTTTTAATTCTGAATTTTCAATTTCGAATTTCAAGTTTCAAGTTTCAAATTTTTAATTTAATTAATTACGAAATCTATTTGTCATTTTAACTCGCGATTTCTATTACAAAACGTATTGCGGCAAATGGCGCGAGAGTATTTTTAAAGGCAAATCCACTTAAATGCAGTCTAAGCTATTCGGGGAACGATTATTTCAGGACAAGGTATGTTCAGGTCGCGTGGTCACTAATAAGTCCAAAATTTGATTGAAAAAGGACAAAAAGTTCAAAAATTGTTTAATATAATTTGATGAATTTTACAGAAGTTACAAATGTTTGAAGAAAAATTGAATTATTTTCAAGAGTAATAAAATTCTTCGCAAATCAAAACTTTTTAAAAATTCTCGTCAAAGTTTCAATTATCTTGATAAATAATAGAATTCTTCTCTGAAATTGAATTATTTTCCAAAATTCCCATCAAATTGTTTGCAAAATTTCAATTATTTTCAAAAATTTTCCTCAATTCAATGGTTTTCAATATCTAGTATTTTAATAGAATTTTCCAAAAGAATTCAATTATTTAAATAAAATTTTATTAACATTCTACACAAACATTCAATTTATTTTCATAAATAATAAAAATTTTTACAGGAATTCAATTATTTAGAAATTCTTTTTATAAATTTCTTCGCAATAATTCAATTATTTTCATAATTAATAAAATTTTTACAGAGATTGAATTATTTTCGTAAATAATAAAATGCTTTTAGAAATTCAATTATTTTTACTAATAGCTCATCGCAGAATTTCAATTATTATTTAATACAATTTTAATCGAATTCCTCGAAAAATGTAATTATTCTTAAAAATTTTATTAAAATGCGTCTGAAGAATTTAATTATTTCAAAATTTGTTCATACAATTTTGTATGAGAATTTAATTTTAACAAATATTAAATTAATAAATTATTTGCTTTTGAATATAAATAATTGAATTCTCGTAGAATTTACTAATAAAAATTGTTTTAAAAATGTATTTCAGTTAAAATTTTAGATTATAATTAAATATTAAAGGCATTTTAGCGTGGATTTTTTTAGAAATAATTGAATTTTGAAAAGATTGCAAATTAAAATCATTAAAATTATGATGAATTATTATTTAAAAAAACAATTCTGTAGAATTAAATCTTTTGAAAAAGTTTAATTGAATTTTTTAAAAATTATTTCAATTTTTTTTTCTAATATATATTTAATTGAAGAATTTCCGAATAATTAAAATTTTGTAATATTGAACTGTAAGCAAATAAATTTGAATATTCTCAAAGAATTTTTAAAAATGATTTAAAATAATGGATTTATAGAAGAATTTTAGTTAAAAACACTAAAAAAAATTAAATTTTTGAGTAGTTAAAAATTATTGCAGAAATTCAATTATTTTCAAGAGTAATAAAATTCTTCTTAAGGATTCAATTATTTTTACTAATAATAAAACTCATCGCAGATTTTCAATTATTTTTCATACAATTTTAATTGAATTCCTTGAAAAAAGTAATTATTTTCATGCAAGTTTTAATAAAATTCTTTATAATAGGGGAGAGTCTCCAGTTGTGAGACACCTCCAGTTGTGAGACAGTCAATTTTTTTTAACATGCAATATTAAAAAGCCGATTGGTTTATATAAAAACATTTCTTTTTATATGAGCTAACTTTTTCGTGTACGCTGAAGCGGATATATAAACTGTTTTTGATAAATACCAACACTGTGTGTGATAATCGACTAAAAAGCGTTTTTTCAATAAATGCAAAGTAATTTTTTTCCAAGTTAATTAATTGGAAAAGGTAAATGTAATGCATTTTCTTTTAGTGTTTTCCTTATATTTTGTGATGCAATATTGCATTGTTCCAATCTACGGTTGAAAATAATTTAATTTTCCTTTTTCAAAATAGCGCCAATTTCTGGGTGTGAGACACAGCATATCACCAGTTGTGAGACGGTGTCAACACCCATCTGGGCAGCATAAAAAATACGACTTTGCAGGCATACTATTTAAATGTTGTTTTGATTTTTTTTTCTAGTATTTTTGAGCATTTCAAATGGAAAAAAGTCAATTGATTCAGAAGAAATCAATTTTATTGCTCTTGTTGAAGCTATTAAATTGTGTTTATTTGATAGTCATATTTGGGCGAATAAATATTATTATTTAGTATATAATAATATATATTATTAATATATTTAATTATTTCTACTAAACATAACGTTTTATGTCAAACTTATTAAATTTTCGCAATTTTTAATGAGTGTCTCACAACTGGAGACATTTTTTTTGTTTGAAAAAAGCGATGTGCTCGGAAAATGTATCGTAACATGTTTTGAGTTCATCGAAATACTATACTTTCTTTTAATAAAAGTTGCGTATTTCTGTTACCTTTCGAACGGTGTATTTTATTTACAATTTCGTTTACCCGTTTACAATTTACGGGTCAAAAATAAAACCCGTCTCACAACTGGAGACTCTCCCCTATATGAGAATTCAATTTTGAGAAAAAATTCAATTATTCAATAAATTATTTACTTTTGTATTTAAATAATGTAATTCTCTTAGAATATTCTAATAAAAATTAATTTTCATTTCATAACATTGAATTTCGGTTAAAATTTTAGATAATAATTGAATATTAAAGGCATTATAACGTGGATTTTTAGAAATAATTGAATTCTCAAACGATTTCAAATTAAAATCATTGAAATTCGGAATTTTTCATATTTTTAAAAAACAATTCTGTAAAATTAATTTTTTTGAAAAAGTTTAGTTGAATTTGTTAATAATTATTTCAAGTTTTTTTCTAATATATATTTCATTGAAGAATTTCTGAATAATTGAAATTTTTAAAAAAATTGAATTGTAATCCAATGGATTTAAAAATTCTCAAAGAACTTTTTCAAAAATTATTAAAAATAATGGATTTATAAAAGAATTTTAGTTTAAAACACTAAAAAGAAATTTAATTTTGGAGAAGTTAAAAATTATTGCAGAAATCCAATTATGTTCAAGAGTCATAAAATTCTTCTTAGGGATTCAATTATTTTCATAAATAATAAAATTCTTCTTAAGGATTCAATTATTTTTACTAATAATAAAACTCATTGCAGGAATTTAATTATTTTTCATACAATTTTAATTGAATTTCTTGAAAAAAAGAATTATTTTCATGACAGTTTTAATTAAATTCGAAAAAAGAATTCAATTATTTAAAATTTTGTTGATAAAATTCTTTATGAGAATTGAATTTTGAGAAACATTCAACTATTCAATAAATTATTTACTTTTAAAGTATTTAAATAATGGAATTCTCGAGGAATTTTCTAATAAAAATTGATTTTAATTTCATAAAAGTGAATTTCAGTTAAAATTTTAGATAATAATTGAATATTAAAAGCAATATAGCGTGAATTTTTAGAAATAATTGTATAATAATTGTATTTTGAAATTAATTTTTTTTGAAAAAGTTTAATTGAATTTCTTTTATATTATTTGAAGCTTTTATTTTCTAATATGCATTTAATTGAAGAATTTAGGATTAATTGAAATTTCGTAAAATTGAATATTGTAAATAAATGGATTTGAAAATTGTCAAAGAACTTTTTCGGAAAAAATATTTTATTTAAAGTAGAAATTTAGTTAAAACTTTTGAAAATAATAATTGAATTGAAATGATGAAAGTAATTTTGAAGAAGTTACAATAACAATATTCTTATAATATAAAATAAGGATTTTATCACTTGGCTATCTTTGATTATTACAAAACATGAAGAAATTAATGACTCCGAGTCGAAGACTCGGAGTTATCGATATCTTTTTGTTTTATAGTTATGAAAAAATTTAATTTATAATTTTAAGTAAAATGTTCTCTTATTTGACTCGGACTGGTTATATTTTTATCAGTAATTGGTCCGTAATTTCTCATTTTTGTTCCGTAAAAATTTTTGTTTCTTTATTTTAATTGCAAACTTTTATTAATAATAATTTATTAATTATTTTTTTTCTCCACAACTGCGGTTATACCTATTTTTATCAGTAATTGGTCCGTAATTTTTCATTTTTTGTCCGTAAAGTCCGTATTTTAAATACTTTCACTGGTTCGAGCCCTGAGATCAGTGTTAACATAGGAAAAAAATAGCTTGAATTTTAAAAATGGGAAACAAATTTTTTTTTTAAATTGTGGTTTAATTTTTATTTTACCTTCTGGAATAGGGTGTAATGTCACTGACGTTGAGAGCCTTCCACTGCCACACATTACGAGATGAGGCGCCTCTGTTTGCACACGCAATGCTCGCCCAGCCTCGCGAACTTGCAAGTCCGCAGAAGTCATTTCTGCAAAAAGATAATCTTCTTCATCTCTTCTTATTTTAAGAGTAAAAAAAAAAATAAGTAAATTTAAAAATACCGAGACTTGTCACGTAAGACGTTTTCTGACATGCAAATATGTGTGTGAGTACGTGTGGGTTACTGATAAAGTGCTTGATAACCGCACGTATTATGACAATATTCAAATGAAATAAATTTTTTGTTTGCTCATCATTTTGGTTCCTTGAACTGATTCGTATTTCATCTGAGAAGACACTCGCGCTCTTTTTCTCTAGATAAAGAAAAAAAGAGAGAAAGAACGCGAGTTGTTTTCTAGAAATTTTTTTATTTTTTTACTTCACTCCTTTTAGTGAAGGAAAGAAAGATAAAGAAACAGCAAAAAAAAAAAAAAAATCATTTCTTAGGTATGGTTTTAAAAAATACGTCTTTCACGTTGATTATGTGAAGAGGGTGTAAAGAAGCGTTTTCAAGGTGGAATATGCGAAAACCGGTATTTCTCTCTTTTTGACCTGAACATATTCTCTCTCAGTAATTTTTAATCAATCTTTTTATTTTGTACTTTAACTTCATTGTACCCACATATACGGTTCATGGTAAATCAGTACAACGTTTGCTATAACGTATATATGCAAAGATGATATATCACAATATACACGTAAAACACATACGAAACCTGATGAATACTTAATTTACGGATTCTGAGAGAGGAGAGACGCCTGGGGATATATGTATGCCGACTATATGCATATAGTGTAGGTTGAGTATTGAGAAATAAGTAATATAATTTATAACAAAAATTTTTTTATTGGAAATAAAAATAAAGGATAAAAAGAATAAATTTTTTTTTTTAGTGAAATTAAAAATATTCTCTGCCTCTAAATCTAATGAAATTTTTTATTGATTTATTTAAGGAATATGGCACACACATCGTGAAAATTTGAAATCTACTTTGAAATATGGAGGAGCAGATTTTTATTGAGTACTTAATTTTCATAATATATCGTCGTAAAAAATCTCGAATTTAAAAAGTCTTAAATTTTAGAGTCTTCTGATTGAGCACTAATTTTTTTATAGTTTAATATCTTTTCATCATGATCCGTATAAGTGCCGAAGGTTCAAATGAACGAAATATTTTGTTAATGTTTATTTATTTCTGTTTATTAAAAAAAATATGAATGATTGTAAAATTATTCGAAAATAGAAACTAAATTTAATATTTAATATTTCATTATTATTTTTCCATAGGAAGTAAGATTATCAAAAATTTTTAATTCAAATCTTTTGAAATTAAATAATTTAGAAAAATATTATTTAAAAACATGAATAAATCGATAACTCCGAGTCTTCGACTAGGAGTCATCGTTTTCTTCATGTTTTTTAATAATTAAAAATGAACGAGAGATAAATCAGAATTATTTAATCATTTCAATTTAATTATTATTATCTAAAATTTTTAACTAAAACTTTTTTTAACTTTAAACAAATTGTTAAATAGTTGAATTCTTTTGACTAATTGAAATATAATTTCTAATTTTCTAACAATATTTACATTTTTAGAAGAATAGGATTAAAATTCTATTAAAATTAATATTGAAATTCTACGATGAGTTTTATTCTTTATGAAAATAATTGAATTCCTAACAAGAATTTTATTCTTTATGAAAATAATTAAATTCCTAAAAAGAATTTTATTATTTATGAAACTAAATAAATTCCTAAAAAAAATTTTATTGTTTATGAAAATTATATTATATTATATATTTATAATTAATATAATTAATTTAATAATGATTAATTTTTATTTAAATTGTAGATATTAAAAGTCATTAAAAGGAGGAAAATTTTTGAAAAGAATTGAAATTTTGAAAAAAATTTTATACAAATTTTTGAAAATAATTGAATTTTGAAAAAGAATTTTGTTATTTATAAAGATAAATGAATTTTTGACGAGAATATTTTGAAATTTTTTATCATAATTGAATTTTTGCGAAGAATTTTATTACTATTCAAAATAATTGAATTTCTGCAATAATTTGTAAATTCTCCAAAATTCAATTTTTTAAAGTGTTTTTAACAAAAATTCTTCTACAAATTCATTAGTTTTAATAGTTAATTAAATATTTGCGTTAAAAATTCAACTAATTTCAAAAGAATTTGAATTAAAATTTTTGAACAATCTAAGTTTTTAAATTTTCTAATTAGATTCATTTAAATTTGAAATTTTCTAAAATTTAAATTTGAAATTTTCTAAAATTTCAAATTGAAATTTTTTTAAATTCTATTATTTATAAAAAAATTGTTAACAATTGAATTCTTTTGAAAATTTTTATTAAAATTGTAGATATTAAGAATCATTCAATTATGAGGAAAATTATAATTGAATTCTTATTATGATTATTGTTATTTATGAAAATAATTAAATTTTGCAAAGAATTTTATTAAAATTCCTGCATTGAGGACAATTTTTAAAAATAACTGAAACTTTGCTAAGAATTTTATTAAAATTTTTGAAAAAAATTGAATTTTGGAGAAGAATTTTGCTATTTATAATTAATTAAAATCTTGACCATAATTTAAAAAAAAATTCTGAAAATAATTGAATTTTTGCCAAGAATTTTATTACTTTTGAAAATAATTGAATTTTGCCAAGAATTCTATTTAAATTTTTGAAAATAATTGAATTTTGGGAGAAAATTTCGCTATTTATAATAAGATAATTGAAATCTTGAGGATAATTTAAAAAAAATTTTGATGATAATTGAATTTCTACGATGAATATTGTTATTTATGAATATAATTGAATTTTGCAAAGAATTGTATTAAAATTCCTGAATTGTGGCCAATTTTTGAAAATAATTAAAATTTTGCCAAGAATTTTTTTAAAATTTTTGAAAATAATTTAATTTTGGAGAAAAATTTTATTATTTACAAAGAAAATTGAAATCTTGACGAGAATTTAAAAAATTTTTTGAACATAATTGAATTTTTGCCAAGAATTTTATTAGTTTGGAAAATAATTGAATTTCTACAATCATTTATAATTGTTTCAAAATTCAATGCGTTTTAGTGTTTTTAACTATGTTTTATAAATCTCAAAATTTTCTAATTAAATTCATTTAAATTTGAAATTTTCTAAAATTTTAAATTGAAACCTTTTGAAATTCAATTATTTATTAAAAAATTGTAAACGCAACTCTCATAAAATTCAATTATTTTTGAAATTTTTAAGTAAAATTATTCAATAAATAATTTATAAGTAATATTTTAATGATAGTTATGCGAAGTTGTTATAAAATTTTTAATTGAAGAAGAAACAATTATTTCGTTTATTTGAACATTTTTCATTTTGAAATTTTGAAAATTTAGATTTTTGAATTATTTATTTGGTTTATTTATTATTTATTTATTATTTCGTTCATTTGAACGACATTTTTTATCTTTGAATTGAAAATTTAGATTTTTGAATTATTTATTATTTATTTAAATTCTAGAATTTGGTCGAACAAAAATATAAATATGTTAACTTTTGGCTAAATCAAACTTTCTAAAACTTATCTTGATTCTTGATAAAAAAAATGAATCGCTCGTATTGTGAATCAACATTCCAATGGGAGATTAGTAATCGTTATAATTGATTATAAATTAAGACCACATTGACTTTTAACGACCAATCGTATACTTAAGTACAATTCTATTTCGAATCGATATAAACAAATAAATACAAGAACAAAAGTAGTAGCAATGAATACATTTCCAGGAGAAATGAAACAATCATGTTCACTTTCGATGGATGATTGAAAAATGAAAACCACTTCATTTCCTCCACAAGTTTAATAAATTAAAAAAAAAGAAGAATAAATTTCTTGTTGGAGAAATGAAGGCCGCATAGTTGAGAGTTGCCGCATGTTAAAAGGTATCTGTTAATCGACAATTATCAGCAATTATCACTCTATAGTTGTGGTGTCAATGTTAAGAGGAAAATTTTTTTTCGCCAGGATAAGATCTTATTTTCTAGTCCTATTAGAGAGCGTGAGATAAGCTTTTACTCTGATCATGAACGAATTGCCGAAGGCGCACATCTCCACCTCTCGTTAGGCCGCGTGCCAAATGCCAAATGTAAATTTACTCGAATATACTTCCTGGCAAACCGGAAAGAGTTACAAACTTTCACGAGAACAATTTTTTTTTTTTTTCCTTTTTTCCCAGATCAAATCTAAATTGAACTTTATGTTCATGTTTATGCGAGCGCGGACACAGTGAGAAAAGCAGATCACTCATATTATAGAAAGTTTTGTCTCTCGCATGATTTTTCCTCAAGCATTGAGTAATTTGATAAATTATTCTATAACGCGACGTATTCATTAAGACCACTTGCTGGCGTTTTTAGTTTTTAACTATAATCGTCAGCAACGTTTATATTGTGTTTGAAAGTTATTTTATCATAAAAGAAGTAATTGTAATTTTTTACTTAATTTGACTAATCAACTTTTTAAAAATTAAAATGCCTGTTTTTTAAAATTAATATTTCATTAAAAATCATTGTCATCCCTGAAATTATAATTTATTAATTTATAAATTATTATTTATAGATAATTTAATAGAAATTTTTATTTGTTTTCAATTTTTAATTTTTAGGAATATTTCTAACATAAAGTATTTTCTTTTCTTTTTGTTTCAGGTGAGTAAAAAAACACATGTTTTCTGTCGAATTTATTTCGTAAGTAAATATAATTATATTGAAATATTTTTTATTATATAATATATATTGTAAGTAATATTCCCTTTTTTAAAAAATATTTACAGGCCTCGCACCTAAACTACACTGAAAAAAAAATTTAATTGATTCAAATAACCGATTAATTGACTATTATCAATTAAATATTTACTTGAATCAAATAATATTTATTGGAGTCAATTAAATGGTATTTGAACCAATAATTTAAGTATTTAAAGCAAATACCATTTAATTGACTCTAATAAATATTATTTGATTCAATTAATCAAAT